ATCATAGGAGTAGACAGAGAGGATTATGTGATTTTACAGCAACGTGGTATTAAGGGCAAAGTGAAACAGGTTTGTATTTTATTTTTTTATTTGGATTCCTGATAAGTGCCCATTAGCTCTTTCTTTTAACATGCATTAAATCTAACTAATGGATATCAAACCAGCTTAGAAAAATGGCAATTATAAAGCAATTGTAACAAAGACTTCGGGAGCACAACTATGCCAAGATATTGTTTGTATGCCTTAAAACCATGAAAGCTCCATCTTTATGGAGAAATGAAGTTGCATAGATGGCACAGCAGAGATTGCAGACAACGTGATGTGAATTATCAGTCTTTGGCATGCTTTGGGACTGTCTGAGCTGGAAAGAATTGAGCAGATTCTCAGATTCCGGAGTGATTTCGGGGGGGCATTTGTTTACAGCTGTGTGCTTATCTGCTTACACATACTCAGGGCAGTTATCTTCCTTGTTCTACTTCTCTTTTTACTTAACACGTACAGATCAAATGAGATATTGTGAACCTAACAAAATCTCTTTGCAGTCTTTTACCAGGAGATGCAGTTCATTTTAAAGTTGATAAACAAAGCTGAATATACAGGTATAAATTATCTCCCTTTGCTTCCATCCCCTCAGATTCTGTAAGGTGTTGTTTTGCCTGTAGAAACCTTAATTAATCTAACAGGAATATTTTCCATAAGGGGTGGTTTCAAGCATTTCTCTCATGTGTCTTGTCTATGGTTAGAAACAAAGCTATCTCATTTGACAAAATAACATCTAGGAAATTGTGGTCTCTGGGAAATCAAAGGCAATGCATTGTGAAGGTACAGATTCTTGAGGTCTTGCCTTTTATTGATAGATCTTCGTCATGCCATCCATTAATTTTAACTCAGGTGATATATGAACTCAGCACATTAGTTAATGAAAGCTAATGCACAGTAATCTTGTCATCACTAGCTGTGCATGGTAATTCAATCTGCTGCTCGGAAGAGCTGTTCCACATGCAACAAATTTGATTTAATATTGACATGATGTAGTAGGTTAGGTGTTTTATTTAACATACCATGTGCCTTATTTGATGAGAAATGGTTTTCTTTCAACAGGTTATGCACCTGAGTTAGGCCAGGTGTGTAGTTTAATGCAGTTACATCAGAGACCGTCTGGACTGGGTATTTGTTCTGTGAATCACTGCACAGACTGGGCCCGGGTTTTGACACTTGATGCATTCATTTTGATGCTGATGCTCTGCAAGCCCTGCAGAGCAGAAAAATGAAGGTGATTCCTCTCTCAGACACTGAAAGTGTAAAGTCCCTCTTTCCCTGTTTGCTCTTACACTTGTAGCTTCATCACCACTGCCAGGGTCTGACACAAAAATGGCAGAGTACAGTGTGAGGGTCTTGACTGTGAGTTGGAGGAGTTTCTCATTGTTTCTGGTCTGTAATAACTGCTTCTAGTCTCTGTTTGGGTAGATACAGGGATGTAAGGATGGTGTGTTTAATACTTTGATTTCCACAAAATGCATACACACATCCTGTGGGCAACACTAGGGAGTCTGTGCTTTGTCACTTAACCCCAAACAGTACCAGCTTCATTCCTCAAGCTTGTTAGAGCTGTGCACTCACTCTGCCAGTGTATATTTGCTTAATTTGTGTAGTGTTAGGGGCTGGATATGGGGATATATTTCCTTTATTTAATATAAAGTATGTGAAGATGTATCTCCATGCAAAGGACATAGAAGCATGACATTATTTACTTTTATTGCAGGTAAATCATCACCAACCATCTTACTATAGGGAAAGAGTTTATATAGCACCCAGAAGATGTTAGACACTGGAGCAGCATATATCCACATTGCTCTGTTGAATACTCTTGTGTGCAGATATATGTTTATGTCATTCACTGCAGCACACAGGTATCTAGAATATATTTCTTGCTTAAAAACAGGCTAAATGTAAAGAAAACCAAGTGGAATGTAGATGGTGATGTAGGTTACACCCGCTGATCTCCCAGAAGTGAGTGTTCCTTAGGAGAGGTGCCTTCAGCACGGGTAACAGGAGATGCTGTCGCCCTCCTGGGACAACACTTCCAGATGGGAGAAGTGTGTAGACAGGAAAGGGAGAAGAGATATCAGACACCATCCAGACTGCAGAGAGGAAGAAGTAATTTGCAGCCAGTTTACAGCAGACTGTGGTCAGACAGGGAGAGGTCAGCCCCAGGGAGAGCCAGGAAGGAAGTGGTTGATGCAATTCCATCAGGCACTGCAGAGTGCTGCAACCACACAGGGCCCTGTGCAGAGGGCGTTTTATTAAGTTACAGGATAGTAATTAATGCCAAGTTCCTCTCTGTTTTCTCTGTGGCTGGGTTTCATAATCGAAATTAAAGATAGGAGATAGGGAGCAGATTGCCTCTTGAAATACAGCTCCCTGGTGCTCAGTTCATGACTTTAGAGACATTTGTCCAGTCCCATCTCCCTTTATGGGGATGTAGGTCAAATGCTTTTGAAACAGTCCTTTTTTCTAGAGCAGATGTGCTCAGTCCAATGCTGCACTGCAGGAAAGAAGCAGAAAGGTCAGGGAAAGAGTGAAGGAGGCCTACTGTACTCTCCATCCACAGTATAGCTGCTGTCCCTCACCCCCTCCCACCACAGCTGCAGCCTGTCATGTTCCCCTGCAGGTTGGGAACCCATCACCTCACACACATCCTGGGTCATTTTGGAATCTACAGTGCAGTCCAAGAGATCCCACATGAGGAGGGACCACAGCTGTGGGTGCCATTATCTGAACCTGGTAGTAACAGTAATTTTCAGAGCTGTTCTTGTGCTGGAAGCGCATCACAAAATACCACCTGTTTTTTGGAATATGTCCTAAAACTGCATATGTCCTAAAATAGATTCTGTTTTCCTCTTCCGCTTCTGTTTTCATTAGCCCCAGGATTTGACATTCTGTTCAGAGATATTTTCAGTATTGAATGCATTAAGATAACATAAATTCCAAATCAAACATCTCATTCAGCATATTTCCTATTTAAATTTCTTCTGTACTTTTCCCCTGTAGTTATCTGAGGGCTGGCTTCATTATTTGTATCAGTTGTCTCATGATAACTGGTTTTGCAAAAGAGCAAAAAAACGAATGGTTGAAAAGAGAGAAAATTTGTTGCTTGAACAGCCTTGTTTCAATTCAGTGTTCCTTCCCTCTCCTGAAGTTTATTGATCAAAAAAGTGTTAAAGTTGTTGAATAGTTTGTTTTCATTTCACAAATGAGAATCAGGATTATTGCAGAAAGACAGGGATGTATTCATCATTAGGATTTGCTTTACACATTCGTTTATTTTTTAATCTATAATTCTTATTGAACTAAGAAAACTCACAGGAATATATGTATCACCACTGAGAACAGAAAGAGCCTGACTGAGGCAGATGGAAGGAGTTCAGCAAAGCACTTCATACAGTGCAAAAATACAAAATTCTGAGCCCTTTTCTTGCTAGTACAGAGAAACATTGGTTTCCCAAAGCTGGGGAGGGTACTGGGGGGATTTCCTGTGTGCTAAGTGGCTTAAAGACACTTGGCTAAAGTGCAGAATTTGGGCATGCTGCAGCCATTGCTAGATCTGCCCATTTAGGGAGTGGGATATCTTTAAAGTCCTTTGCAAACAGATGCAAGCTCTCAAGCTTTCCGTTTTCCCTGAACTGGGAGCTCGGTAGCTTTGTGACCAAGCTGGGGACCGGGCGTACGAGAGGAGACATGTCCTGATGGGGATGGAGCCACACGTCCTCGAGCTTGCCAGTGGCTCACACCTAACAAAGCGAGCAGAACAAACTCAGCTCTTCTTGTAAAGCAATGTTTGGCTCCATCTCGAATCAGCTCAGGTTCTCGTTGGGACCACTTTGCATCTCTCCAGCACAGAAGGCTCGGAAGTTGGTCCGTCTGTTCAGCCTTCCCGAATGAGCAGTGTTTGAGTGGCACCTTCCATCTTTCCATTGATGCTGTTGGGTTTTGTGGTCACTAAACGAGGGTCTGTCTGGTTTCACTGTCTCTCTTTGCCTCCCACTCCTCCTTTCAGGTCTCGTATCATTAGATTCATCCACTGTTGCAGATTGCTTTTCGTGAGCAGTGTGTGCCTGCCCTTCTAGTCATTCTCTCCTACCAATATAACAAGCATAAAGCTGGGCCCTATAAGCTCGGGGGGGTCATAGGACCATGCAGCTGCAGGAGTCCATCCAATCAAGTAACATCTTTTACCCTCATAATGATAATTTCCCACTTTAGCAAAACACCCTGCTGCCAAACTCCAGTGCTAATGAGTCTGTCAGTGCATCAGTGCACTCCCAACAGTATCTAGAAAGTAGAGATTGTTTTTTGCAAGGCAAATGAAGACATTGGTGATTAGCAAGAAACAAACCAACAATTCAATACATCACTGGCCACACATACCAAATCATTGATTTTTCTGTCCTGCTGGGCAGCAGCTGTTCCATTTGCTCTGCAGAAATGGATTTTTTTCTCCAGGAGGGGCCAGAAAGGTGGATGTTTCTCCAAGAACTAGAGGCAGCAGGCAGTTGCTTCTTGCACTAGGCATGGGCATGTTGATGGTGTCCTTCTGAAGCTGCTGAGAAGTCTGATGGGCTTTCTACTCTTAAATGCTACTTCTGAATGCATGTGGATGCAGTGATTGGATGGGGAAAAAAAATCCCCTTTGAGAATCTGTGAAATTGCAGGACAAAAAATGCTGCCCTAAAACTTACAATCACTGAAAGAATTAGAATTTAATCATAGATACCCTCATATGACTTCTCACTATCTACCAGTTATGTGTAATCAGTATCCTTCCAGATCATCTAGTCTCAGCAGTGTTGCTATTTCCATAATCCTTGCCCAGCTGGCTGGATTGAAATGGGATGTCTGTTGCATAGAATTTCTGAGCAAAATGCATGACCCCGAGTCAATGGGACTGCAGTCTGCTCTGCAGTGAGATAGTCCTGATAATTCATCTTCTCTTGTTCCAGGTACCTACGTGATGACGGTGACGGCAAATGACGCAGACGACGCTACTACCGCGAACGGGATGGTGAGGTACCGGATTGTGACTCAGACCCCACAGAGCCCATCACAAAACATGTTTACCATTAACAGCGAGACAGGAGACATTGTCACTGTGGCTGCTGGACTCGACAGAGAGGTGAGTTTGAAGCCATCCTACCAGGTGTCCTGTTACTGAGGGATGCTGACTTGCAAAGCCCAAGCCCTGTCTTGAATACTGAGCCTCTAAAAGTTTGAGTTGCAACGTGGAGATCATGGTCTTTGCTTCTGCAGCAGTTGTGGGGCATCGTGGCTTTGATGTGATATTTTTGTCTTAATCCATATCGGTCGATGAAACCCTGGGAGAATCTTCAAACTCCTGGCGTTGATATTTTCCTTGCGTAAATTTGTAAAACTCAAAGATGTAGAAATACTCCAGAAGGAGCAGGGGGATGAATAACTTGTCATTTGTCCCCTTTCTGTTGGGAGACAATAAATGCCAGACACCTATAGCCCTTTCTAGACCTGTCTTGCATGTTATCTCTGAAAGCAGTTACACAGCCCATACTCAGTACACTTTGCATGTTTCCTGATGGCATCCTTGTGTCTCTTCCAAACTAGGAAAATGTCTTCCAGTGATTTTGGTTTTCTGTGGGGCTCTGCTCTTAATGCCTCTTCTTCCTGGCATTTTATGATGTACAGCTTTTCCAAATGCAGAAGAAATTTCATTTTTACTGACACAACCATACTCTGCCAGTGTAAGCCATATAGTGTGATCCCCAGAGCTCTGCCTCCTCTAGCTGTGAGTGTAGCTCAAGGACAAAGCATTTATACCCCACACATTAAACAAAAATCAGTGCATCAGTGGTGGGATGGAGTGAATGGGGAAGAAGGGGACAGGGGTCAATGGGTGTGAAGGGAAAGAACCCCAGAACTTAAGTTCTGGTTTTATTCCCCTTTGGACTGTGCAGGTCATGGAGTGTCACCTCTTCAATGCAGCTGGGGAATCTCGGTTAACTAAATGTTGGGAAGGATCATTTGTTCATTGAGCTCTGTGGCAGATAGGAAAGGAAGGACTTGCACAGTCTGAGGCTCAGATGTTTTTGTTCAAGCAGTCCCCAGAGGTAAAAAGTCCAGTAAAACCCATTTTAGGAGAGCCCAGCATGCTGCATTTCTGAGACAAGGCAGCAGAAACTGGTTTTGTTCTACTTTATCTCCTTTCTTTCCCCGATGGCAGGGACTGAGTGAGCAGGAGTCCCCACATGTAGGCTGGTACTTGGCTTTCCTGTCTGGAACCCTAACCTCAGAGGGGTGAAACCTCCAGCACCTTAGAGATTTCTCCTGTGCCCATCAGCCCAGCGGCTTTTGGCCCCACTGCTAAGTGCTCTGCCAGGCTCCAGTCAACAGGCACTCTTTGCCAGGGTTTATGCCCATTTCATTCCCACATCTGGGGCCACTTTTTTGCTTCAGAGCAGCTTTGGGAGGAATCCCAAAGGCAGCTGCTGAGAGCAGATAAAAGCCCCGGCAGCAGCTCGGCAGCACGCGGAGAGCCCCGGGGCAGCCAATGGGACCACACGGGAACAGGGGCTGGCACAGATTTGGGGCTTCCCCTCGGCACTGTCTCAGGGAGAGCTGCCCCAAGGGGAGACACTGTGTGAAAGAGCTTTCCAAGGAGAAGGTCAGACGAGCAGAGAGTTTTCCAGATGTGAAGACAAGCCCAGAGCTGAGGGAGCAGGAGGAGCACCAGCGCCTGCTCCTTCCCACCTGATGTGGCAGACTCTGCAAGCACAACCTAGGGCAGATCTGACCTTTCCCTACTCTTTTTATTTAGAAGTTAGCTGAATCTTAAGCAGGTAGATTATCCCAAGCAGTGCCGAAGCCTGCGGCGGGCTTGCAGTCGAGGAGGAGAAGCAAGTGCTGGAGAGATTGCTGGCAGCCCTCGGGGGGACAGAGGCAGAGTACTCAGAGGAGAAATCGGAACTCTGGCAGGAAAATGCTGATTTTATGGAAATGAAAGAGCTATTATTGCCCCCCTGACATCAGTGGGGGCCAGCATGTTGACGTGGGGCTTTATGGGTAGAGAAAGGTCGCCAGTTTATAATAATTTCAGAAACACAGGTTGGGATATCTGGGTGGGAGATGGGTTTTAATCTCAGCAAATCAGGTGAAAAAAGAGGCAGGTTGTAATTAGGGGGAAAAGATGAGGCAGACTAGTCATCTTTTTTCAGGTTTCTCTCATTGCATCTGAAGCATTTTAAAAACTTGCAGGGGAACCATGTGCTTCATGTTAGTTCCCCTGTGCACAGGGTCGAGGAAATCCAGGCTGGCACATTGTATATGGAAATATGGTGTTGAGTGTCCCAAGCTGAGTAGAAGGTTGGACAAGGGACACTTGGATTGAGGCAAAACAACCAGCTCTGGGCACAATCCTGGGGCTGCCCTGAAGCTATGGGACATGCTCATTCCCAGCTCTCTCTGCTACTGTCAGGATTACATCTGGAATTGGCAAAACTTTCTGGGTTATTAACATAAAATTATATTGCATCTAAATTGAAAAATGTGTTTAAACACTCATATTACTGTATCACAGATTGGTTTTTTGTTTTTGTTTGTTTTTCCTGAAATCTTGAGAAAGCTATTAGAGGAGTAAATTTGGGGTTGCTGCTGACATTTTCTTGTCGTTAGGAAAAGGAGCCGAAGAGCAGTATTTGGAATGCAGATTTGTGTAAATTAAAATGTTAACAAATCTGACCTATTCAGCTGAAACTACTACAACCAAGATAAATTCCCTGGATACCAGTTATTTCTCCAAAAGCTTATTGACACATTTGTCAGTGCCTGAGACACGATTACGTTAAGCTGTGGTGATACAGAACCAGGTTTTCAGTTTCCATTGGACCCTTCTCCCTTGTTTCTGCAATGCAAAGCAGGTGTGAATATAACTGCCAGAGCTATTCCATATCTGAGAGACAGGTCCATGTTCCAGCATTTCGCTTTCAGAAGGGAGAAAAGTCACTTCAGAACTGCTATTTCTAGATCAGCATTTCTGTTGCATGCTCATTAAATGAGATTTCCTGATGTTCTCAGCATCTCCACTTAAATACTGGTTCTTTGCTGGTTTCCATTACCTTCAATCCATGAAAGAACAAACTGGATACAGTGTTCCAGCTTGTTTTGTGTCACAGGAAGTGTTTTGTTTAACCTGCAAGAAAACTACTTTAAGATAGTCATGTATTTTTGCTGCTGTTTCTAAACCATCATTTCCACAAACCAAGGAGGAAATTAAAAACTCAGCCTCTCAGATTGTGCTGGTCTCTCCTAAATGTGTCTGACACTGAAGATAGCACAATCAAAAGCCAAAGTATTGAAATATTGATGGCTTTAAAGTTATCTTACCTGGTTCCCATTAATCTGGGTGTAAATATGGTTACAAAGCTTTGTGTCCATTCACTCGTTATGACTGTGCTTAATTGAATGGATCCCCAAGGAAGATAAAGATAATTGGACTGCACTTCATAAAAATTATTAAAGGAGGACAGTTTAGCAACGGCCTGGTGTAAGCCTGGATGCCTAAGGGTGAGAAATGCCAAAGGTGGAACAAAGGAACACCTACCCCTTGAACTAAGAGGGAAAATGATAGGGATTTAGAGGGCATCAGAGGTTCAAAAGTATATTCAGACAGCCAGACTTTGATGAGAAGGTTAAAAGCAGAGTCTTGCTGTAATGCAGGAAAACATCAGGGCAGTTTAGGAAATCTGTAGCTGATTTAATGAAATTAGGAGGGAAAGATCATATGGCAGTGGGAGCACAAAATATGTGGATTAATAGGGAAGGCTGTGAACATATGAGATGAACAGGTTGTGACAAAGTTCAGGGGTAAGAAGGGACTATGGTAGCTGACTTAATTTATGTCAGGCTGCTGCAGAAATGGGTGGTACTATAGGAGATGCTGCCCGACTGATGGCTTCGTTTAGCAGCACATCTGAATTCCACATTTCCTTGAGTTGTTTTGGTTTTTTTCCACTGGGAAGAAAATTACAAGAGGTAAGAAAGGGTCAGCTGTCCCCAGCAGGGTCTCAGAAACAGGCAGAACATTCATATTTTTGTTTTCCATTCTGAAAAGTAACATTTCTCCTTATAACCTTGCATAAGGGACCAGCTCTGTTCCCTGTGTTACTTCATGCTCTCCGCTGCCACTCAGCCCAATGTCCCGGGTGGGATCAAGCCCAGACTGTCAGTCTGACAGTGCTTCTGGTGCAGTAATTCAACTCCATCACCAATTTTGATTTCTCCAGTGGCAGAGTATCTGTCTCAGTAGCACAGTAAACCTGCACTGGGGGTATAGTGTAGGCAATATCATCCTCTGAAGAGCTTCCCCTAAATATTTTATGAACACGGACTTTGAGCAAGCAGGAGGGAAAAAAAAAAGGAATGAGAGAAAAGCAGGTGGTTGATCCCACACTCTGCTGGCAGGCCAATAAATGTTGAGACATCTCAAATGTCATCCAGGCTTATTTGAGATAATAAGTATTTTGGCTCTGCGGTGCTTGTAGTGTAATGTTGCTAACTTTTTGAGATGTCCTTTAGAAAAGAGTCCCTTCCCAGCACATTCATCTGGTGTTGGAGAAATGAAGACAGTCAGGAGCTCTGAGTTGCTTCTTCCAAATTTCTGTGTGTTTGTATTTCTTTTAATAGTGATTGGATCTCTGCTGCTGCAAATGCTTTTAAAAATACATGAAATCCGATTCTATGATTACTGCACTTGGCTTTCCAAAAGCATGATGTTGCTAGTCCTTCTCAAGTGAGTGAAAGATAAAAGGGAGAGCCTGCCAACAACTGAGTTAGAGGCTTATTTTATTTATGAATGAAATGGCAGGATTCTTATGGAGAAGAGGAGAACTTCTTCTTATTAGCAGAGACAGTTGATTTATTTTCCAGCACTCTGGTTTTGGTGCAACTAGACATTTCTGATAAATCAGAAATTTGAAATGTTACGTTAAAAAAAAATAAACAACTGTACATTGCTTCTCCAAACACCGAGGGGGGATTGGATTTTACCATCTGCAGTAACTATTTTGAGGACATTTGTCTCCAGGTCATTGCAATAGCTTTTTGAAACCTCCCTGTTCCTTCATTCAGGTGTTGGCTGGGAGTAAACAA